GCTTTGTTGTGAAAGCTCAAACTTCCAGTTATCCCTGAAAACATAAGAGGAGGAAAAGCATTTTTTTTTATTTTATCTTTTTTTGAAGGAGCTGTGTTGGGGGGAGGGGTGTTGGTGATTCCTGAACAGGTACAAGGTGGGAGAGAAAGCTAATGAGCCCATGCTGTGACCAAGGACTACAGATTTCAGTTCCAGCCTAGAGGGGTATAGAGAAGTGGTGACCTCTGCAGTCGGTTTTTTTTTTTTGTTTGGATGTGTGGATATGAAAAAGTTACTGCAGTATAAAAATATCATAGCACAAGAAATGGGAGAGGTGCCTTCAAAAGAAGTAAGCATCCCTGGATCAAGATTAATGAAGAAGTTGCATTATGGGTTTTCTCAGTTTAACACCTTCTAATAATAAACTAAAAACAACACACATTTCAAATCCGAAGCATAAAGTTTCCACATCAATTCCATTTCTTGTAGTGCATCTCTCATACTCAGCTATAAAGTATTTACAGGGTTTTACTCATTTACACAATATGGCTTTAATATTGTAACATGAAGCATCAAAAAGTCTCAGCAAAATTCTCCATAAAACATTCTTTCTAAATATAAAGTTTGGCATTTCATTGATTTGGCTGACAGACCAGCAGCAGTATATATTTTCTGTGATTGTGCTTTTTTTTTTTTTTTTGGACTGATAATAGAAGCACAAATTTTGGTCATTTCCATCAGAGCTTAAACTCTAGTGGAGTCAGAACTATCTCCCTCAAAGCCTGGCTGAATACATGAGTTTCATGAGCCATGGTTTCACAGACATTGCCTTGGACCTGTGCCTTTGCCACTAAGGTAAGGAAGAGAAGGCCTTTCTTTTGGAACTTTCATATTAAGACAAGAAAGCAAGATCTATTTTGTGTGGTGTTTTTCTTTCCCCCCTCCCCCCAAAGTGCAGGTCTTTGGTAACGATAAACAAAATGAGCAAAGCGAGGAAGGAGGATTTTGCTGGGAACAATGTCCAGCTATTTGTACAGGGTGCAGTTGGACTGATAGAGGAAAAGGTCCTGTATTGGTGGCATGTTTTATCATCGAGAATTCAAACGAGGAGCAACCTGCAGAGGAAGAAACACAAGCTAGAAACTGTATTGAAAAAGATGCTGCAAGTGTTAGCTCTTAAATGTTATTAAGGCACACCAGACTGGCTTGGAGTAGAAATACTGTTATGCTACAGTACATAAAGCTTCCTCTAGTCTGAAGTACTGAAGTTGGTAGTTCTTGGCAGGAGACAAAAGCAGGTATTGGTAATTCAGAGGAGTCCCCAGCAAACTCACTCCTGCCACTGTTCAGTGATTATACTCAAAGCGTCTGCCTAGATTAGCAGTACAGGAAAGCATTGCTTTGGCTAGGAGGGCAGGCCCAATGGGAAACATGTTCATGGGTTCATGGGAGGGTTTGAAAGTGTGTAAGTGTGTGTGTAAGTGTAAGTGTAAGTGTAAGTGTAAGAGTGAGTGAGTGAGTGAGTGAGTGAGTGTGTGTGTGTGTGTGTGTGTGTGTGTGTGTGTTTGTGTGTGTGTGTGTTTGTGTGTGTGTGTGTGTGTGTTTGTGTGTTTGTGTGTTTGTGTGTGTGTGTTTGTGTGTTTGTGTGTTTGTGTGTTTGTGTGTTTTTTAAATGTTTCCTCATAGGGTTAACTAGTGAATTGGTTTGCCATTATTGATAGGAACTGGAGAGAAGTGTGGGAGCCTCATTTCAGCATTCCTATAAAAGTTAATGTGTTTTCCTTAATATGGTCCTATAGGCATGCTCAGAGTAAGAAACTGCTCTTGTTGGCACTGTAACATTAGTGGCTTCTACAGGACTGATTGCCTCAGTGAAGAGCAAAGTCGAAGTGATGACTGCAACGCTGAGGCTAGTCAGTCTGCGCTAGGACTAGCTATTTTTTTGAGCTCTGACACTGGAAGGGGACTGAACGTGGTCTAAACGTGTTCTGGATTTAGTTCTGGACAACCTTTAATTTGACAATGCTTGAATTAGTTGCATGTGTGTATCTGACTAGCAGGAAGACTCTAAGAACCCCCCCACTTCGGACAAATGTGAAGTTCTCTTCTGAAATTTGAGGTTGACTCAAACCGTAGGCTTTGCCTGGCATTTGGTTCCTGTTTCCTCATGGATGAAGGGGTCGGAAGACTTCATCTGGCCTGCCCTCCCATAATAGGTGAGGGGAAACAATATTTGCAGAAAAAACATGCAGTGTTGTCACAGTAGGGCAGCACATAGTATCTACAAACAATTTAAGGAGGGAAGCAGATTTTTTTTTGTGCTTGTTTCCTGTGTTTTTAAAAATCCTCTTTTTAAATTGGATTTGCAACAGAGTGTAGCGTTAAATCTTGCAAAAAACAAAGTGACAAGACAATAGCTTCATCACTTTGAGTAAGTCTGGCTGGCAGTCTTGCAGGAAAAAGTGCAGTGCTCGGCTCCACCTGGGGAACGGGTTGGTAGACCAGGTCAAAGTGGTAATCTCTGCATTTGGCAACAAAGTTTACAGCGTGTGTGTTGGTGTGCTGGGTTAAATGGCAAAAATCCCTTTTGGATGCACTGTAAGTGAACTAGCATTTTTTTTTTTTTTTTAGCAAGATGAGCCTGTACTCACCACAGTTAGATGGCCATTCTTGGCTTTGGCTATAAGCAGTTCTGATCCTGATATAAAGTCAATTATTCCTTCCTTGCCTTGCCCAACTGTAAATTTTATGCTGTAAAGAGAAACAGGTAAGAACAGACTTATTGAGCATGTGTGAACGTCAAACTCTTTTATCCCTTTCTGTACAAGTGGATGCTTTGTATTGAGGCTTAGCTGCAATGGATCTGTTTGAGGAAACAGAGCCCTAGTTAAGGTTTGCTAGATATGTTTTGATGACCTTGCTCTGGCCCTGTAATGCTAAAGCAGAGCTCCTTTTCAGAACAAACACAGGAAACCCAAGATAGCTCTTGAGAGGGGCCTAGCTTTGCTCACCTGCCCTGATTGATGTTGACGTTATTGACTTTGTCCGCACGCATCGCTGTTTTGGTTAGTGTCTCAATCACATGGTCGCTCTGAAGCACAACGTCTCCCTATGAGGGGAAACCCACAATGATTGTTTGCAGTCATGGCTTTTCAGAGACTATATGGAAAGATCACTTATTTTGATTATACTATAAGTTAACAGAGAGAACTATTTCTGTAGGATAGCATGAATGAGGGGAAGAAAAAAAAAAAACAAAACCCTTTCCCTGTGGACTAGGGTTGCTGGAGTTCGCCAGGGCTTCTGTCTCAGTTCACATGCTGCACCTATAGCCATTAACCTGTTACTCGCATGGTATCAGTAATCAGGGCAAGGGACAGCTGACCCAGCCACGTGTAAACCCCATGAGCTGAGCATAAATACAACAGGAAAAAATGAGCAAAATTAAAATTCTAGTTAGAGGAGGCACAAAGTTATGCAGAGGGGGCTGCTCACCCATATAAATCAGCATGTGTGCTTCCTGCCCCTCCACCCCTTCCTATGCTGGAGCTTCTGATCGTTCCACTATTAAAACTTTTACTAGAGGTAGGTAGAGAAAAGATAGACAAGTCCTGCTACTACCTTCTGCTTGTTATCCTCACAGTGCACATGTAGCACAAACAAGTTGTCGCTCAGGCTGCTGACGGAGATGCCTGCAACAGAGAACAGCCATTTGACACCCACCACAATAATACCGGGATTCTCACAAGCATTTCAGAACCTCTCCCAGGAATGCAGCAACTGTTATACCCGCACCAGGAAAGCCAACAGCTGAGACACTGCACAGAAGCATGGCACTAAGATGTCAGCAGCGAGGAAAAGGTGGCTGCAAGGTGACAGAAAATCAGCTTAGCTGTGCCTCTGACCATACCTAAAAGCATTCCTTCTCTACCTCTGTCCAGCAGAAATAAGAAGAATGCTTGTTCACAAGCTTTTGTGGCCGTGGCCCTCATCAACACGGACTTGCAAAAGAGCCAGCTACTCTGTACCAAGTAAGAAAGAAAGAAAAAAAAAAAAAAAAAAAAAAACCAACTCCCCCTGACCTCAAGACAGATGCTTAAGACTAGCCTTGTACCTGGATAAACGGTCTAGTTACTGGAGTACTAAGAAAGAACAGGACAATTGCAGCAACATGATCACTGTTGTCTTCCTCCCACGTAGGACTGCAACGCCAAAAAGTTTATTATTGCTGTGACTTCCTGTGACAGTGGGGACAGGGTTTTCTGGCATATTGGTCTTTGCAGAGCTGCTGGTAGGTCCCAGCCTGAGCTGCTTGCTGCGAGTTTTCCTTCTGCTACACTGGGAGCTAGGCCATGGACCCAAGGCTCTGGATTCAAGTGTTCCTACTGAGCCAGCTGGCAGTGCCTTCCAACTGTACGTTAGCAACAGGATTACTTTCTGTAATGTGTTGCTCATGTTTGCTTAAAAACAAACAAACAACACTCCCTAGGGTAGGTGGATTAGTTCTGGAACACTGTGCTGCGTTGCAGTAGGGGCTGCTTCTTCATAGTTTTTTGGGGTTTTTTTTTTGGCTTTTGCTTAATATCTTGACAATAGCTACAAGCTCGGTAAGCCATTCAAATGAATATAGCCCAACCCTAATGGAGATGATGGATATATAGCTCTGCAGTAATAGTGTCTTTTGGGAGGCCCAAAGCCCCAAACTGGTGTTGCCTGTGGAAACCACTTGAAATGGTGACAGCTACAAATGGAGATGATAATTGCATTAGGACAATGTTGAAACTAACACCAAAATTGGCTCTAAAGAGGCATTGGAGCAATGCTGGGAGATGGAGCAGAGGCCGTTAAGTGAGAGGTTTCAGATGAGAAAAGCCAAGTCATGACTACACTGCATCAACCACTGCCTGAACATTTTTCTCTAACCCAGTCCTGTTTCCACCCCCCCGTCCTCCCCAAAGTATGAAGTCAGTGTCAGAGGGCCAAATGCCATAGCAGTGTCCTAAGCAGCTGCTATATAATAACGGTGCAGCTCCCTTGCAGTGGAGATGTGCAATTGGGAAGTGACTTTGGTACAAGGGAGATATTTTCTGGGAGATGATTGGGTGATTTTTTGTGATGCTCGCTTTCTGGAGTTTTAGGAATTTCAAGACTTAGAATTGGTCTTATTGGTATCAGCTCAAGTCTTGTCCAGGACAAAGACATTAATTTTTTATTACTATTTGTAGCTGAACTCAGTCTTCACCTTGGCTGTGATCAAGTCAGTTAAAATCCACTTATCTTTTCATTATCACCTGTCAGATTGGCGTAGTCGATCCGTTGTTTGATTTTGGATTCTTCAACTATGATGACTGCATTCTGGGTAAGAAGCAGCTGCCGTGCTCTTGCTTTGTATCCTTTCCGGTCATACTTGATCACAGGGACTGCATACTGTAATTAAGTGTTATCAATCAGTGCTAAAAATGCAGCTTGTTTAGATGGCAGCTACCTTCCCTCCAGCCTCGAGAGCTTGCAAAAGGTACTGACCAGGGGTTTGTAAACTGCGAGTGGAGACAATCCTTTTGAGTCCTATTCTGAGTTCTGCCACAGACTTCTTTGCTGACCTAGAGGAGTTCTGAAAAATAACTTGGCCACGCCTGCTAAATGTGGACTATACCTGTACGACCGTGGGCTTGAGAAACCTAGATTAAACGTCAGTCTGTGCAGGCTTCTTCATCACCCTCTTCCTCTCCCCCTTAAGCATCCCTAAGCGTCACGAACACCAACCATGCCAGTGTCAGAGTTGAAGGGGTTGTCATAAACTCACCCAAACCTCCTAGCTGTATTTCTGAGCCACCAACCCTTCCCATACACTATCATCTAGCTAAGGTATGACGACCTTACTCTAATGTAAAATTCTTAGTACATTTTCTTTGGCAGTGTAATCTTCTGATGAAGACTTCAATTCTGGTGAATAATTCAAGAAGCTTGACAAAAGTATTAGGGCACATATCTCACCTTAATTGCCTCATTTTCTAAAGCCTGAAGGACTTTAGCATTTATTTCCTCATTACCTAAGTGAAAACCAAAGAGAAGGTGTCAGAAAGAGAAATGTCTAGAAAGAAAAGATGAATCCCTCTTTCTTCCCGTTCAAATTTGCAACAGCTACTCACCAAGGCGAGTGTTGATGAAGAGTCTAGGAACGCTCTGAGGATAATTGTCTTTTTTACCCTTAAAAATCTCACTGGCAATCACTTTTTGTTCCAGCTGCAAGAACAAGAGACGTAATTTTTTTTTTCTTTTTAGTATAAAAACTCCCTTTAAATAAAGGGAAATGTTTACCTTAAGGATGATTTTAACAATCATCATCTAGTGCTGACCCTGTGAATCATACTAGTTACAAACTTGCACAAAATATTCCTTTCAACAGCTACCCTGTCTTTACAGAGTGGTCTGGCAGAAAAGCATTCTCCCAGCTTCCTGATTTTTCTGTCTCTCTCCCTCCCTCCCTCTCTCTCTCTCTCTCTTTTTTTTTTTTTTTGGTCTTTCAAAAATATGCATCATATTTCTGTTTTGAATTTATAGGCCTATGGCATCCAGTCTCTGGATTTTGTTAATGCCTATCTTAAATTTAAGAGTCTCAAAACTCTCCCAGTGCAGAGACTCTCCTCTGAAGAGTCTCTCTTCAGACTCTCCTCTGAACCTCTTCCTTGTCCAGTGAACCAATCTCTGCCACTGTAAGACTTTTTTCATCTTCCAGACATCTACATATCTATATATATAGATAGAGATATATTCTTTTCCCTGAAGCCTTTTAAGCTAGTCAACATCTTTACTGAAATACTGACAAAGTTTGGCCTTACCAGTACCATGTAACATAGTCATTAGAGCTCTCCAATCTACTCACCGTTCTCTACCTTAGCCCCTGACAATAGTATGAGTCAGTCAGCCTCCACAGTGTACTGGGAGTTCCTGTTTAGTCACCATAAAACTTGTATCCTGGAAGACCATCGCTGTGAGCGGGAGCACTCGCCCACTGTGTAAATACAACCTGTGCGCTGAGCTCCTAACATGTACGTCTTCAGAAGAAGAAAGCCAGCGAACAAAGGAAACGAGAAATCCCCTTTGCTCTATAAAGGGCAAATGGACAATATTCCAGAGTATGAAGTACATATATGAGATGGGTAAAAACGTGGATAAAGGACATTTGAAATTCATCGTTAACAAGGCTGGTTTGCTGGGGGGGGTGGGGGTGAAGTTGTCAGTTAGTTTTCACCTCCAACTCAGTTTCCGTAATGGCTGATGTTAATCCTGAATCATAGCCAAACCCACTCACTACTCTACAGTATTTTTATTATAGGTGTTTAATATTTTGGTCTTCAGAAGCAGTCTAATTTAGCTATGTACTATTAAAAAAAAGTTTCAAAGCAAATATTGCTATCTATCTCCTGAACAGTTATGCCTAAACTGTTTAAAATATGCATTTCCCACTCTCTCTCTTTACTGAGCTTGCCTCTATGAAAAAAAAAAAAAAAAAACCCCCTCCCCCTGCCGTGACTGAGATAAATGAATAAAAATTATATTGCAAATTGATGCTAGCAGGAACAACACTGAAACAGCATATTATTCATATAACAACTTGCCTGTTTGGAAAATGACTAGTTTTGTGCCTGCTGGATTCTTGCTCTGCTTTGTATGATGCAAGTGGAAAGACCCTGCTGCTTACATTTTTGTCTTTCACAGGAAGAATAACATGGCATTTCTGTATAGAAATTATATAGTGGCATGAATATACACGTTTTATGTATAATTTGACACACAGTCTATACAGCTTCATTTTTCCTTCTCTGGTCTTTTGTCTATAATGTAAAAATTGAAAATGTTCCTGCGACTCCGTTAGCCAACCAGCGAAGAATTCTGTGCTTCGGGAATTCCTCTCCCTCGCTACTAGTACCCTTATCCCTCTCATGCAACTGCTGAAAACCTGCTTTGATTCTCAAGGCTATCAGAGTAATCAGGCAAGTAATGCAAATTTGTCAAGTACCTGCTGCTTCCACTCTGGGCTGATTCTCTTGCAGTAGCTCCAGACCATGTTCTGCATGCATAACTGTCTCAGGAGCTGGGATGCCTGAAGGAGATTTCTTATGGTAAGTAAGTGAAAATAGCTCCAAGTCACCAAAAAAAACCTCAAAAACCAAACAACGAAGAATGAGAAGTAACTGCAGAAAATACAGGGCTGAATTAAAATAGTATTTTATTAATAACAGTTTTAAAATTAAATAGTAGGAAGTTTGTTTCCTACCCTTTCCTAAGACAGTTTGCCCTGCAACATTTCTCAGCTGATTTAGAATGCAAAATAAATACTTGGGAATATTCATCTTTATCTGGCTATTCCCTTCCTCACTTCCATGGTATCTATGCTATGAGCCAAGCAAACAAGGAACTTTGGCTAAGATAACTGAAACTTTCTGCAGCCTTATTTTGGATCAAGTGAAAAAGCCATCCCTGAGTGGTTCTGCCTACCTCACAGAGCGACGGAGGAGGAGTTGGCCATGATTTGTCCAAAACATTCTTTGGTAAATTACGCTTAAGGTTCATCAGGAAGGAAAAGCGGATGTAATCAAGGAAATACTCATTCTCTGGGCAGCGAGGGTAGTTCCGGTAAATAAAACCTTTAATGAACCTGAGGAGAAAAGAAAAAAAAAAAAGGTGGGGGGGGAGAGAAAAAAAAAAGAGATTAGTCAACATCACAGATAGAAGTCTCTTCCAACCCAACCATCGCTGGGTCCCCAGTGAGCTTTCAGATATAGCAAGGGTAAAAGGTGGGTTAACATAAAATGATGAACAGACAGCTGGGGGCATTAAATGCACTGGGACAAGTCTGCAAAAAAAAGCATCAATGTTGAGAAGAAAAAGGAACTGAAACTTGTAAGAACTAGAAACTCGAGTTCCATTAGGGAATCTAAGGACTGGCAAGTACCAAGTGGATAACGCAGAGGCACTGACTGCCAAAAGGGAAGTTTCAACAATAATAACATATGGAAAGCTAGTTTCTAAATTTTCTCTATTGTATCTGCAATCAGGCTAGCCAAGCAGCTTTCCCTGTTTTCAGACAAGCATACTCAAATGTCACAGAATAACCTACCTTCAGCTAACAGTCTCTCCCATTTCCTGACCTTTATTTAATAGCTCTGATTTAAAAAAAAAAAAACAAAACCAAAAACAGATCACAGATCTGTAGTGACAAGAAAGTTTATTCTTAATCAGCCTATTGTTAGAAAATAAGTACTCATTTAATAGACTTTTCCTTTTTTTTTTAATAAACACACCTCCTAATAGTCTCTACGGCCCACTTCTTTTTGGCAGCTTTTCGGCGTCCCAAGGTTCCCCGCCACCATGACTGGATAGTTATTGCTAAAAATAATAAAAACAAAAATTGAGCATTAAATTAGCTCTCTAATACAAATATTGACTCTGTACGTGAGCTGGGAACGAAGAGTGCTCAAGAAAGCCCTCTACAGAAAAACAAGCCTTCACAGTGGCATACTGGAAAGAGCATTATTTAAGTTCTTAACCGTACGATACAATGAATAAATAACCAATGTCAATAAAAGCATCTGCAGCTGGGAACTGCTGTATGGGGCAAAGCAGGCAGCTGCTGTGTGAACATGAGTTAAATATTCTCTTCCTCAGAGTCTCAAAGAATAAAGGTGGAAGGACCAGGCACCACACCTAACGCCCTTCGTTCTACTTGCTGCAGCAAGGCGTAGGGGATTGCAATTCTTGCGCATCAAACTCAAGTCTTCTCTCAAACCAAGTCTTCTCTAAAAACACAGTGACCACTTCAAACCATGCAAATGACACTTTCGCAGTTTCAATTCCCTCTCTCATACCTGAGTGTTTCATGTGCAAGAACTTCTTCCGCCGGTAGAAACCTCTCCATGTGGCTTGCATTTTTGTTGCTGAAATTGCAAGAGAAAGAGCAATTTGAAATTGTGACCAAACATGGCGTTTTGTTAGAAAAAGTCAATTTTTTTTAAACAATAAAGCACAAAAGAGCTAACTGTCCACGAAGCTACTGTGCTGTGTGTGACTCACCAAGACTCTGCTTCCTCACTTCCAGAGCATCTTCCGTTGCAAACAAAGTCTTGGGAAAGCGGATAAAAATCTTTGTTCTAGAAATAGAAAGGCAGAATTATGTTTAACATGCCAGAGAAGTTAACTTCCTGCCCTTAGTATCCCTTTTGGGATCTCTAATCTTTTCCTCAGCCTTATTTAAGAGCAATGTCATTGACTCCCAATAATTCATAATCCCAAATTAAGAAAATATAGAAACTAACCGTCCCATTTTGTATTCTTCTGGTTTGTAGCCAAGATGCTTCACCAGCACAGCCACTCCATCATGGGGCCGTCCATCCCACGTAGGCCATGTTTCTGGACAGAGTGATTTGTACCTGTACATTGACAGCAGGAGAAACTTTAGCAAGAGAAAGTCCAACCTGTACAGTACAATGGAAAGGAGGAGAAGCCATACTTCTCTCTCCCTCAGAGAAAGTCTTTCAGGTACAAGGGCTGCCTATCTGCTGTTCAGAACACCTCCCCAGCCACAACATCAGTAGGACAAGGGAGGAAGGGTAAATCCAAGGTCATCATACCTCTGCAAGAAAACTTCGTATTTCCTTCGGTACGCAAACCCAGCTCTGCGCACTCGCAGGTTCTCCATCAAGCCCAGGTATTTCACCTGATGTCGGATTAAAACTTCATCAAATCGATCTTGAGAGAGCATGAAAATGGAGGAACATTACTAATGTATAGCTGCCCCTTCATCCGGAGAAGGAACTTTAAGCTCTTCCTTTTATCTTAATGGATTACCTTTGGCCTCTACCCTGTCCTCTTTTGTGTCCCCTGTCCCCCCTGCCCCCCAACCTTTTTAATATACTTTAAACAATGTAGCCTTTAATATACATTTTATATACGCTTTTTAATATACATTTATTTAGTTCCAAAAAAGTTCCCCTTTATGCTCTATGCAAACAGGAAGAGGAAATGAGGGAGAATAAAGGAGATTATTAAAAGGAAGTGATGTAAGTTCACATTCTTCACCTTAAACACGACCCTACTCCATCACTTTCCGCAAGACCACTGCCCCCGTTCTGATTCCTGGTTGCTGGTACTGCCACCGCCTCCCCACCAGCTCTGGAACTGGCCCAGAATGAAAAGTCTTGCAGGACTTAGTCATTTGAGCTCCTCTCTCTGCCTCACTGGCTGGGATCTAGCGGTCTATACAGCTGTTGTACAAAAACATAGAGAGGAAAAGTCACCAGAGTCATACCAGCCTGTTTAGCGTCGTTAGGTTTAATGCAGCGAATGTATGATGGCTCTTTGGACATCAGAATTTCCATGAGTTTGGAGAGGCTGTTTTTAAACTGAGTTGCTGCCTAGGGAAAAAGAAAGAAAACTATGTATGAAGTGATGACTTACAGCTACTACTTGTGACTGAGGAACAAACTTCACAGTCTCCCAGCCTTAAATATGAGAGACTTGCATTTAGATTACTGCGTTAGGTGGAACGCATCTTGAAGAACAGGAAATAGCCACACTTCTGTCCAACTCCTGTGTTCTTACCGTTTCAGGTCTCTTTTTGTCCGTCAGCTCTGTCCTGTCAAAACACTGATTTATGATAGGATTCTCAGAGTTGCACATGGTCTGCAGAGAAAGACATTTTCAGAGACAAAGGACAGAATGTATCTCAGAACTATCAGAGGAACATGGGACAAAATTGGGTGTTTTGCTGTTTTTTATTGCCGTTTTAATAATAAAATGAACTTTTGGGCACTCCAATTTGTCTTTTCACAGTGCAACCCCCTATGGGCACATGTTCTCCAGGCGAAGTCTAAAAATATGTTTTCCCTCAGATGCCATCCCTTTTTGCACTCGATTGTTCCCGATACTCGGCGAAACAAGCGTTCTCTATCCACACTCACCTCCTTCAGGTTCCGAAAGAGAAGGTCATTGTTTTTATCTAGAAAACCTGGAAGGAAAAAACAAAACAAAACAAAACAAAACACAACACAACACAACACACTCAGGCTGTGACTTTTCCATAGAAACTTCACAACAAGGCAGGAATTTAAGATAGGAGATTCATTTAGTTTATCAAATGATATCAGGAGGTATTCTATGTCCATATTGATCTTTACTACCTAGTGAAGTTGTTTTAATTCAAAGGACAAGAGACGGGAGGAGGAGGAGAAGGGAGTAAGAGGCAGCCGAGATGGTGCACACCCTTACCTGCAACACTGTAGGTGACCTCTCCAGCATAGTGCAAAAGGCGGAACTCTTCCCGCCCCAGGGACTTGCGAGTCTTTTGGTCAGCGAGCTTGTGCCTGGCGAGAAAAAAAAAGCAGCTTCCTGAGGAACAAACAGTTGTTCATTGTGGGGATTCACCTCAAAATCCACTGTGGCACTAGACCCCTGAGCGGGACTATATGAACTTGGAAGGGGGAGAGGAATAAAAAATAAAATAAAATAAAAATAATAATAAAAAAAACCCCACATGCTTGCTGATCTTCAAGACTGAGAGTAAAAAAGGTGAGAGTCATCAACCAGCCAGTCGCCTCCCAGTCATAAAAATCTATTTACATTTATTTCAAGTGAAGGAACTTTCAGCTTCCTGGGGAGGCTGCAGGGTGGTGCTGCGTGCATATGATATTAGAGTGGAGGCAGCAGGCGAGGAGGCAACGAAGATGCCGGCAGCAGGCTGGCACGCTCACGGGACGCCATACAGACTCTCATCTGAGCAAAGCAGTGTTTCATAGGAAGAGACAGGGCATTTGGAGTTGCAGTATGTAAAATATAATCACTCCAAAACTGAAATGAACAGTCTTGAAAGCTACAGACTTAGAATTCACACCCATTAAACTAGAGTGACGGCAATATAGATAGTTTACCAAAGTCAAAGGAGAAGATAAATATCACCTGGGAAGCAGACACGCACAGTGGTGAATTAGTGCGATATTAAATTCTCAGGCACATCAATTTCAAAAGCACCAGCACTGCTTAAATCACTCTGATGTATATACACCTCTGAACACTTTTACAAGCAGAATTCAGCTCCATGCTCTAGTTATTCCTAGGCTAGACTCCAGTCATCTTTCCCCAGAAAGCCATCAAATGCTGGTGAATGAGCTGGTCTAATACTCCAAAAGAGAGGAGGAAAAGCAGAGTTCATCACAGCTGCAGCAGCAGGCCAGATCTTAAGAGCAGTCAAGAAACTGCAAGCCTGCAAATTCCTTGGACACATTAACAGAGGGATGCCAGGAAAAGATAAGCGAAGAGGCAAGAAAGTAATGGAATGTTTTGTTGCTCCTATTGTGTTTTGAAGGTTGTTGGTCTTCAAAAGAGCAAGGCAGTTAGTATCAATAGCTCTGTCACACACTTGGATCCTACTAGTATAACTGTCCTCAGCTACGGGAATACTCACGTGAGAAAATGAGGGTGATTCTTCACAGTTTCCTCAAGTTTCTCCAAGAACGTTGCATCTGTGGCATCCCCAGGTCTCAGACACTCTTCATCCTAAAAAGGAGTCAGCAAACACATGCGCTCTAGCATTGACTTCTTCGCATGCTTCTCGGCATACAGGCCAGCTCTAACTCTATCTCACTGAAACACCATCCTGATTTGACTCTGGCCTTTTAATAGCTGGGCCACCTCATGCCTTCATTTCACTTAGTTCAACAAATGGGAACTGCTGAGCTGAAAAGGAGAACCCGCTGCTTCTAGACTGCATGGATTGGAAGCTTCTTTCCTGAGAGCAGATGAAGATGACAGAATCTGACTTTTGATGGTGTCACTAGTACTAGAGCACTTGTACTAGTGCTCTTCCCCTCAGCCCAAATAATCCTAATATAAACTTCCACCTTCTCCTCTTATGTTATTCCCCCTTGTTTTCCACCATGCTGCCCCATGTTTTTCATTTAAAAAGGTGTTGTCAACTCACCAAAATAGAAATGATGCCTTTGAATTTCTCTTCTACTAAATCACAAATGATTTTGTTATTGAAATACTGAACTGGTTCCCACTGCAAAGACAAGAAATCACACTTGAATGACAACAATCCTAGACTGTCAAAAACACCATGCAAAATTCAGTGTATTTCAGACAACACATTATTTAAGTAGCCTTTCTGTCAATTTGAAACTTAAAGCTTTTTCACTCATAACATTTGTTTACCTAATACTCTGTTCAAGATGAAACCTTTTCATCAGCGTAAAAGATTAAAACGGCGTTACTCACTTCCAGCTGTCTCACACACTGATACCAAGACAGTTTAAAAAGAAAGGAAAAAGAAAAGCTCCTTCAAGCCTTTACTTTGGAAGCTATTGTTATTAGCAGCTCCATTTCTAATCCATCTGTCCTCTGGTCTGTAGGAGGTGAATCAAAGAAGATAATGGAAGGGTGCTGATGCTGGCTCTTACCGCTATGCCTTCTGACTCGTATTCCTCTTGTTCCGACTTTAATGTGAGCTCTATGAAGAGCTGCTGCAATTTTTCATTACAGTAATTAATACAAAATTGCTCAAAGCTGCAGACGAAAAACAGAGGAAAACAATCACTAACACTGCACTGCAAGTAAAATGAGCTATCATCAGTGGACAGCAGCATGAATACATCTAAGTGTAAATCAAGAGGTTTAGTGAATTATTTGTTTAGTGAATTTATAAATCTAGTACATTTATGATGCAGCGAATCTCATGAAGGAGTTCCAGAAGGAAGGGAAAATAGGCACGAAAGGTGATACAAAGGAAAACAAAAACTTTTAAAGAAGGGCCCACAAATACTGCAAATTTAAGAGTCTCGGTTCATTGCTACCTGCCAGAGTTAGGTTCCAGACTCTGACATAATCTCATAAGCTGTTCAATAACTGTGTTTTCCCACTCACACTACCACAGAAAGACATCAGAACAACAGCCATAGCTGTACCAGAGACCTAAACAAAGGCATGGTTTAAGATATCACATGAATATGCCCCAAAAAGACAACAGTCTCTTTAAAATACTGGGACGATAAATAGCTGTAAATGCTAAATATTAGCTGGACGTCCCAAGTATTAGAAGCTACTATTTAGGAACGTGGAACTTAGGCCTTTCAGCTGCCATGTGATGATGAGTTATTCAGCTGACTTCCTCAAGTTGAAACATCATCTCTTTCTCCCTTACTAAGAAGTACCAGAGATGGAAAATGTCTCATTTCACAATGGAGAGAGAACACTGAGCACTGAGTCATGCATAACTTACTCAAAGCTCAAAGACACTGACGGAAACAAACCTGTTGTGCTGGAAAACCTCAAATCCATAGATATCAAGCAACCCTAGAACTGTTGTACTTCTCCAGCCTGGAAACTCTCCCTCCTGCAATAAGGCAAAAAATAAATGTTCATATACATAGTCATAGCTATGGCGCATCACTAATCTTCCCCATTTAATTACAGCGTTCACTCCTTACCCTCTTCTTAGTGGAATACAAATTCATTCGGATATCACTGTACGTATGGCACTCTGGCATGGAACTTAGCATTTCTCTGCTTTGCATCTACAAGGTTGCAAAGCCCCCTTCACGCTTGGTTGTATGTCCAAAAAAAAAAAAAAAAAGTTCATTTACCTTGTAAGCAAGAGACTTGTTAACCTTGTTCACCAGCCAGGAGAAAGTGCGTCCATATATTGCTTTAGCAAGAGCATCCCTTGCATAGGCTGCTTGCTCCAGGTTCAGAGGACTGATTAACTGTATGCAGGAGAGAGAAAGCCCTTCAACAGCCATTCCACTGAGGGATCAAGTTTCTCTAGTGCATTGTTAATAAACAGTCACTTAACAGCATCCTGTCTGGGCTCAGCTCACATCACTGCCTCCCAGCTGCACTGGCTGTGAATCACCATCAAGTTATACGAGACTTGCACTGACAGCCTCCTTTGAGAAGTGTGAGAAGTGAACTGTTTAACTTTGGTAAGAGAGCTGATGGCAGCTAGCTTGCTTCAATTCCATATGCCTCCCAGGTCCCCGGCTCATGTTCTTACCTCTTCCCCTTTTGCTATGATCTTCTTGTGAATCAATGAATCTCGAAGAACAGAGCCCTCAACTGCCAGAAGCTGCAAAGCAGTAGACCATTAGCTTATGAAGCAGTACATTCCATTTACCAGTATTTACTTTTGAGAGATTAGAAAGTCTAGTCCACAAAACTACAATCCAGAGAAACAATCTTTTATTTCCCATTTACGCTGGCAAGACTATTCACGCCAATCCTTCCTTTTCTTCCCGCACACCAACTCCTTTCTGCCAGTGATAGGATCTAACAGTAATACCACTAAACTGGCTTGACTGTTCTTGTCCGAAGAACTGCCTGAGCAGAACCACAATGGCTCTTCTTTCTTCAAATCTTCTCCAGGGTAGGTCTATTCCTGCCCCGGTGCTCGAAGGCAAAAACTCAGCCAGTGGTGGATCAAGTGGTAAATAGAGGAGTTGCCAATTAAGAAGTGTTTTGATGGTATTTTTTCCATTGTACTTAGGTTATATAAGAGTAATTTTACCATAAAGTCCGAAATCCTAAATCATATTCTAAAATGAAAAAAGATACCAAGTTCAAAATATGGAAACCTCTCTAACGCATTTTTAATGTAATGTATCTCCAACGGATGATACTTACCCTAGCCAGATATTTAATCTGGTTCTCTGTAGTCACCTGGGCGTTTCCTTGTTCATCAGCAGCAAACTGCACGTTCCCCAGATGCAGAACGCTAGCCACAATGCTCAGCAAATCCTAGGATGAAAGCAACAGGGAGAAATCAGGATTACGAGTTAGAAACAAGTACAGGAAGAAAGCATGCCCGGAGAAGGCAGCGAGATTTTTGTGTTAATTAACCTAATTACCAGGCCCTACATTTTGTTTCAGGATTTTTGCAGAGAACATGTTAATTCCAAAGGCTGCCCTTGATCAGAAATAACAAATCAAAGCAGAAAAATTCATTAGGAACAGGAAGAACAGCTTTGCTGCCACATGTATCTTACCTCCACCTCGTTGTCATTGAAGCTTATAACGGTCAAGGCCCGTCTCACAATCTTCCAATCATTTTTATCATTTATGGAACTGACCCTGGCACACTGACCCTAAAAACACACAGTGATAGAAAGAAATACATTGTCAAAGAGGTATTACTTGTGCCGAATGCATTTCTGCTATATGTTTCTTTTTATAGAAGAGTCATCTCAGTGTTATTTTCGAAGTGAGGGAAGGAAGCTACAAAGTGAACTAAGAATATATTTGTCCTGTAACACAAAGCCAGTAACGATTGTTAGTTAAGGCACACCTTTACTAGGTAATGGTACTGTTGTGGACTCTTTTCAAGGCCTAGCCTTCGCAGTAAGTCCTCTTCCCCTCCTTCTAGCAGCTGGTAGAAAATGTGGAAGTTCCTCTCTCCGTGACTCTGGTGCACGACTCGAGACTTTTCCAGGAGGTAGTTCAAGATGTGGCCCCCAACAGGTGCCCCCTAAACCAAACCACATAAATTGAAATAGCTCATCAAAACAGAGGAAAATCTTTCTGCTTTTATGGTGGTCTGTTCAAAGACAAAAAGGATACAAAATGACAGCCTACAAAACCAAGAAAAATATCTGCCATTTTGTATCACAATCTCTCTCTCATTCAGCGAATATACAGCGGTAATTCGAGTTTTGAAGTGCGTGCAGAATGAGATATAAAACGAAAATATAACACTATTTTATATATATATATATATGATAATATAACATTATTCTATAGATCATTGCTACAGCACGTACTGAATACTATCTTCACTTTTATATTCTCCTTCTCAGAAGGAATCCGCCGCAAAAGAAAAAAGTAACAAAACTGAGCGTGGAAGGATTATATATTGAGCTTTAAAAAGGGAAGCGTGTTCTAGAAAATCCTCTGGAACCAAACTTTGCGCTATTCATGTGGTCCACAGAGAAACGCAAATCAAAAGCTCGATGCAGACATCAGTACAAGCAAACAGAGGCAACAGAGTCCTCCTATGACTGGGACCAATTCTGAAGTATAAAACAGATTTTAACTTACCCTGTAATCAAACTGCACATCCATGTATTTTCCAAATCGGCTGGAGTTATCATTCCGAAGGGTTTTTGCATTTCCAAAAGCCTGAAATGAGGAGGTATTAGAGAGAAGAGGAAAAAAAAAAATCAAATGAGATAAGTACTTTGGTGAAGCTGCCAGTTGTTTCTGTATGGCCATTAAAGCCCAGGTTTATCCCTTTTGCAAGGGAAAACAAGAAGAAAACAGGTAACTTCTCAAATACTGATGTTTATACACAGTGCAAGTGTTGCAGAAGGAACATGCTTCTGAAAACAATTCCATCCCCCAGCAAGTTTATTTTAATGCCATTTCTCTGCTGACAGCACACGTCACGTCTGACAGTCTTCTCAAAGCTTCCTCTTTCATCACACCTCTTGGCTTACAGAAACCCACAGCTCTGCTCACAGAAGGCAGTTTCCTAACAGGCCTAGGTCTGCCAGGCTTTCTCCTCTCGTTGGGAGCATACTTTTCCCATACACACAACACCGACTTGAATAAAGAGTGGAACTATTAAAGGAAACTAGACAGCTTGGGCCTGGACACTAGAGGACACCACAGCGCTAGAAAATACGGCCGTAAATGCATTTATCAAAGGGCAAAGCTGCCCACAGCAGATGTGTCGAGGTCTGGCTTTGCAAGCTTATGCAGCCCCTCCAGGACTCTTTCCACTCCGCAGGATTCTTTCTTCCCTGCAGCCTGGCCCCTCCTGCTCTGCTCCTGCTGGACAGGAAAGGGCTAAGCGAATTTGGCAGCAGCTGGCCGTTTTGAGCCTTGGCTTAGAAGCGGACTGGGATTCCCCCGTGTGCAGATCAAACAATCTGCCCACGTGCAGTGAACCAGCGCTCCCAGGATACGCTATCCACTGTGCACGCGCAGCTCAGCCACGCTGTACATGCCTAGCGGGGGCCGGCCGCCTCCCCCCTCGGCCGCAAAACGTGAGTACCACTGGTGCGACTCGATGCCGAGTTCCGATACTGCAGACTCCGACTTACCTCTAGGACTGGATTGGATTGTAATAGGCGGTCTTTCACTGTTTCGACCTGCTGACTGGCTGGGCAGGTCACAGCGTAATACTGCAGGATCTTCTTGGTGGCCTCAGTTTTGCCAGCTCCGCTCTCCCCAGATATCAGAATACACTGATCCTTCCTCTCCATACGTAGGGAGCGATATGAATTGTCTGCAATAGCATAGCTAAGGACCACAGGTAACCAGGCGTTAGTTCATTTCCACAACTGAAGGGCAGAGACTCCTCAGCTAAGGCTATCCCATACTGCAAACTTCTAGCCGAGATATCTCAGAGAGCTATGCATCCATGGGCTGGGTCAGAGCTCCTTACTGCTTCTACACACAGGTGATGACATGGGAGGTTGCTGTGGACCTCAAGATCTCCATACACATCTTTACCACTGGGCCAAGTTTCTGTAGGATGATAGCATAGATCTATCAAATTAACTACCTGCTCTTTTTGGAAAAGGCCTTCATGCTATTAAAATCATTTTGCAATGGCTGTGCAA